TGTATCATCTTCAGTTTCCTTTATCAGTGTTTTATAGTTTGCAGCGTATGGGTCTTTCACCTCCTTGGTCAAGTTTATTCCTAGATATTTTATTCTTTTCATGAAGTTTCAAATGCAATTGTTTTCTTGCTTTCTCTTATAGTTCATCATTATGAGTGTATAGAAAAGCCACATATTTCTGTATATTAATCTTATATTCTGCAACTTTATTGAATTCATTTATTCTAATAGTTTTTTTGGTGGAAATTTTATAGAGTTTTCTATATAAAATATGACATCATCTGCAGATAGTGACAGTTTTTCTTCTCTTCCAATTTAGATGCCTTTTATGTCTTCTTTTCTTGTCTGATTGCTGTGACTAGGACTTCCAATACTATGTTAAATACAAGTGGCAGGAATCAGCATCCTTGTCCCAAGTTTCAAGGGTTCGAGAGCAGAAGTCCTGAAGGTTAGATCTGAGCTGGTTCCATTTTCTCTAAGTGTGTGCTCCCCCCCAGCAACCTCGGCATTTTCACCCCAGACGGTAGCAGTGCTGGACCATGAGAGGCCAGAGTGGGCAGTCGATGTGGGTCAAGGTGCACACTGGGGCAGTCCCAGCACACTGGAATTCCAGACTGCTTCTGATCTGCTGTCCCCACGAATGCCAGTAATGGTTGCCCTCACCCCATTCAGATGCAGTGCTGGGTCTGGGCAGGCTCTGTCTGCCACAGCTGTCTACTCTACTTGGCTATGGCAGCCTTCACCCTAGTGGGGAGCTGTGCCATGGAGCAAGAGGGGCTGAAGCGGCCCTCAGCATGAGCCAGGGTGCATGTTTGGGCAGATGCAGGAAGCCAGCTAAAGTACCTGGCATTTTCAATTGTTTTCTCCACCCTGTTTTGAGAGAAACCAAGCACGTGGGTGCTCTTCACTAGCAACGTCTAGATTTCTCACAGCCCCTGATAGTCCCACTGGTCTTCAAGTCAGCCAAGAAGAGGACTTATCTTTCTGGTGTTGGACCCCAGGGCTGGGTTTCCTAATATGTGGTTCACACCCCTCACTGTTTGGGGAGGGTCTCTGAGCCCATGCAGCCCCCCTCCTCTGCTGTATCCCCTCCTAGGGGCACAGGTCCTCACCTGATTGCTTCTCCTCTTTTCTTACCTGATTTCATGTGGATCTTTCATTACAGCCTTGGTTGTATAAGAGCCTTTCTGCCAGTCTCCAGTTTGTTTTCAGTGAGAGTTGCCCCACATGTACAATAGATGTATTTTTGATGTGTTCATTGGGGGAGGTGAGCTCTGAATCCTCCTACTCCACCATCTTGATCTCCTTTCCCCATGTATTTTATTTTTTATTTCTATTTTTGTGTCTTTAAGTTTTTAAATCTTTTCTTCTACAATGTCTTAATGTGTCACTTATCCCATCCAGTGTATTTTACATCTCAGTGTTGTTTTCATCTCTGGAATTTTTTTTTTAGTGTCCCTTCTTATATAGTTAATCTTTTCTATATTTTCTTGAACATATGGAATATAGTTTCAGTAAGCTTTTAAATATCTTTTTGTATTAATTCTGTTATCTGGTAATTACTGAGTTGGTTTTGATTTTTTCTCTCCTTATGGGTCATTTTTCCTGTTTCTTTTCATGCCTGGTGATTTTTAATGGAGTACCAGAGATTGTGAATTTTACTTTTTTATGTGCTGGGTATATTTTATTTCCTGTAAATATTCTTCTGGGACACAGGTAATTTGGAAATCATATGACCCTTTGGGGCTCTTTTTTGAGCTATGCTACGTAGCACCAGAGTAGCATTTAGTGCAGTGTTAATTTTGCCCAGTACTGAATCCAAAGGCTTTTGAGTACTCTACTAAATGCGTTCTGAATTATGAGATTTTTCCACTCTCCCTGGTGGGAATAGTAACTCTTCTGGTCCCTGTGTGAGTTTTGGGTATTGTTCCCTTTAATCCAAGAAGTTTAAACCTCAGAACTGTTGATGTTTTGGCCCAGAGAATCCTTTATTCTGGGGCCTTGTCTTGGGCATCATAGGATATTTAGCAGCATCTCTGGCTTATAGTCAGGTGATGCTAGTAGTGCCCCGCCTTCCCCTCTGAAAATTATGACAACCCCAAATGTCTCCAGATATCACTATGTCACCCAGGGGGCAAAATCAGTCTTGATTGAGGACCACTACTCTAATCCTTTCAGATGGTTCTTTCCCTGAGTTCAGGTATTTCTTCATGTACATGGAAAGATCAGTACTCAACCTAGACTCAAGTAAGACCTTCTGTAGGTTTTCAGAACATTCTTTCTTTCTGTGTAGTATGCGCTCTCTCTGTCTGGCTCTGCAAACTTGAGCTACCTTCTACTCTGCAGGTGGCTAACTACTTCTTCTCAAGATACAACCAGGTAGTAAGGTATGATAATTATATGAATCACCTCATTCGTTTCCCCTCTCTCAAATGCCACTGTCTTTTTTTCGTAATGTCTTATCTCTTGAAAAATGTTTCATTTATTTATTATGATTTTTAGTTGTTTTAGATGGAAGGTAAGTCCAATCCCTCTTATTCCATCTTGAATGAAAGCTGAAGTCTCAAAAGTTGTCTTTTACTTTTGAAGGGATGTTTTGTAATACTTCTGACACTGCACCCCCGAAAACATTGAAGTGGCAGGTCTTTGAGCCCTCATAGAGTTAATATCTCACTTCCAGGAGTTCAAGTGTGTTACCCAAGACTCCAGGGTACCAGCCACTCCTTGCTCATTCTCTTGTTCATTCTGTTCAGTCAGCAAAATACATATGTAATGTCTTAGGTGGTCTAGATGGCTTCAGGTTATATTATGGTAGAGACTGAGAAAGTTGCAATAGCCCTTAGGCAAAACTGTAAGTTAATATTGTCCTGCACAACTGCCAACTGTTTCTTGTACTTTTTACTTTAGTAACTGGAATGGAAAAGAATACATTCACCAAATCAATACCTGAAGCTTAATTAATCATTCCTTCAACAATATTATGTCTGGGACTTGCAGCTGTGCCCAGAGCTAAAATTTGGTTAAGTCTATGACAGTCTGTAGCCATTTTTTAGGATCCGTCTGATTTTTGCAGATGATGCATGAGAAGGACTGTCACCCCTGCATACTTTTAAGCCTTTATTGGCGGCCCTAGTCTTTGCTTCTTTGCCTCTTTGGAAAAGCAATATTGTCTTTTATTTACTATCTTGTTCTGGGGAATGGGGCAGTTTCAGAGGTTTCCACTTGACTTTTTCCACTATGACAGCTTTTACCACATAGGTTCCTTTGTGGATTCTAACTGCCAGATAAATAAATTCTAGTTATAAACTTGGGGAGTGGAGAGAGACAAGACTATTAGGTGGGTCTGCAGGCTCAGTGAGCTCACTATGAGCCAGACTTTTTCCAGGATTCTGTTTCTGACCTCAACTCAGAAAGTTTTGGCTAGGAGGTTGTTTCTTTTGCCCCACAGAACCTCGACTTGGATCATTCTCTTAGTTCTATTCAGCTGGTAGCTGGTCTGGTCTAAGAACGAATCACATATCCGGTTCCTTGGTGCTGTTTCATGTGGCCTTTCTCTTTCAATGAGGCTATTTTGGGCTTCCTCACAACATTGGTGCTCTCAGGGTATTTGAATCTTAGAAGTTACACGACCTCACTTCTGGCACATTCTTTGGGTCAGAACAAATCACAGGACCAACCCAGATCCATGCGGAGGGCACCTAGATTCCTACTTTTGATGGGGGAGTGACAAGGTCTCATTGCAAAAGAGCATATGGGATAAGACATATCATTGTAGCCCTCTTTGGAAGTACAGTTTATCATATCACTGCTCCATCTGCTGTCTTATAGAATTTTACAGACTTTTTTTAGGTCTATAGACTCATTTGCTGTGGTTTCTTCTTTTAATCTATTCATCTCTTTTTTTAATATATATATGTACTTAAAAATCTTTTTCCCTCTTATTTTGGTAAGGATTTAGCAGAGATGTGTGTGGTCATTGAATCCATCATGGTTAATTGGCAGTTGTAAGCTTTGGAATCAGAGATTATTGCTTTTTTTCTTAGAGCTTCCTTGTTGTCTTAGTAGCATATTGGGGAAAAAGGTTGTCTTATGTGTCTTTTCTTTTTTTCTCTCTGTCATTTGATAATTCTCTTGTTATATATCAAAGAGAGTAGTGTTTGGGAGCAGTCTGCCCTGGTATAAAGGCATTACTCCTTGTAAGAGAATAAGGAGGTAAATTTTACATAGAGAATTTAAGCTTCTTTGTAATCACCGTGCATCAGCGTTCTGTGGTAAAATACTCTTTTCTGTCAGGAATGTTCCCTGCTTCCACACTTTCCTTTTGCTATGCCATTGCTCTTAGCTGAGGTTATACTATACTACTATACTTTATTAACCTGGGTTTATTAATATCTAATTATCTGAATGAGGGCTAGAGAAATGTTCCCCAGTTCTTTCGGAGAGTGAACAATAGCATTGTCCCATTGGACGTCAGTTTTGTTTAGTGGTAGATTAATACCACCTTGAGTCTGTTTGAAAAGAGTTTTTTTTTAGAAAATCATATTTTAAGAGGAATATTGACAAACAGAATCATCTCCAGAGGAGATCAGTTAGGATGCTTAAAGATCTGGAACCTGCAAATATTTAGACTTTGTTATTTGGAGGAAAAAAAAAAAAAAGACTTAAAAGAAGACAAGATAACTGTTTTCAAATATTTGGAGGTCACTAAAGAGGAAAGATTGCATCTGTTTAGAAATGAAATAGACTTTTATATGAAATAATGAGTTTTTTGGCATTGTTTGAGTAGAGGTTGTCAGCCATGCTGAGGAGGGGTTCCTGTGTGAGTTGAGGGAACTCTTCTAAACCTTTTCAGATCTATTGTAATTCAGAGATTTTGTGACTCTTCTGTAGTTAACAGTTGTGTCATAAATGGTTGTTTGCTTAAAATCAGAATTGTGGGATATCATTATATTTTTAAAAGTATATTTGAAAATTAATCTAAAGTCTTTTCTGTTCTACAGGACTTAAATACTATTTATTCTTATCTTCATGGAATGGAAATATTATCAAATCTCAGGGAACATCAGCTTAGGTAAGTGTGATGCTGTGTTTAAGAGCATGTGCTAAGGAGTTATTCAAATGAGTTTGGATAGATAGTTGCAGGGACCAAATCATTTAGGAGCTTTTTATAGGATATGCAAAGAAATTGGCCTTTCTCATTCCAGTTTTCCTTAGCCCTGGGACTTTGAGCAAGTCTTAACATCTAAGCTGCAGTTTTGTCTTCCATAAAATAGGGATAAAAAGATTACCTTTGTTGCAGCATTTCGAGGATTAAATGAGAATATTTAAAGCAAAGTGCAGTGCTCAGTTTGTGCTAGCTAGTGAAAACAGAACTTTCTCTTTGTAGTTTGTATTGATATTTATTGTATCAAATGCTTGAGATGGGCATGGTATGATGTAGTGTTATATTAAAGTGGAAGGAGCAAGACTCTTGATTTGGCATAAGCTCCTATGGACAGTACCCATAAACTTTCCAAACCTCATTTTTCTATTCTGTAAAATGAGTTTTCTCTCCTGCTACCTTGTCTCATTGTGATTATATCTGTAAAGATACTTTTGAGTGCTGTAGGCACTATTATAACTTTGCATAGTATTTTAATTAAACTGTGTTTTTCTTCCATGACCAGCTTACTTATCACTTTTTCTGGCTATTCTTTAAGTTTCTGGCTATGGACCAGATTCTAAATATAATTGTTTGGAATTTATTATTTTCTGTTTTCTGTGTAACATAATTTATATATTAGTATATGTCAAGTAAGTGTATCAAGAAGAAAGAAAACCCTAGGGCATTAGTAGTAAAGTATTTTTAAATACAAGCAAATTTATATTTATTCAACAGATTTGTGTGTGTGTGATATTTTTAAACTCCAGTGAAAAATTTAGTGATAGATCTGATAATTTTCTGTTGTAATTATAACAATTTTTGAGACAATTCAAATAAAATAATTTAAAAAATTTTTACTTTTTAAAAAATATGTTAGATTAATGTCTGCAAGAGCACGCTATGAGAGATACAGTGGCAATCAAGTTCTTTTTTGGTAAGTATTTCCATAATTAGCTTAAATTAATGTTTAAAATTTAGATTGTTAGCATTGAAATTCATTTGATTCTGGAACAGTTTCTGTAGAGGAGATTGAAATATACTCCTAAACTATGAAATATAATGTACGTAGGGCTCACAAAAGGTGTACAGTGCAATGAAGTTTAATAAATATATACACCTGTGTAACTACTATGCAGCGAATATGTAGAACATATCAGCTCTTCAGAAGGCTCTAGTCAACTGTCTTGGAAAGGTAATCTAGTTCTGATGTCTGTCACCTTAGATTAGTTTTGTCTCTGTAAATTTCATATAGATAAAAATCTGTTGGTCAGGCTTTTTATACTTCACAAATGTTGCAGATTCTTCCATGTTTTTGCATTTATTCTTTTTCAGTGCTTTACAGTATACAGTTATGTGAAAATAACATAATTTGTTTATCCTTCCCACTATTAATAAATATTTGGGTTGTTTCCAGTTTTTCCCTATCATGAATAGTAAGTTTCTATGAATATTTTATTCATGTGTTTTTGTACCTCTATTTACTCATTCTTCTTGGGAATATTCTTAGGAATAAAAGCATTGGAAATGCACATGCTCAAATTTAAGATTCTTTTTTTTAAATAAATTTATTTATTTTATTTATTTAGTTTTGGCTGTGTTGGGTCTTTGTTGCTGAGTGCAGGCCCTCTCTGGTTGCAGCAAGCAGGGGCTACTCTTTGTTGCGGTGTGTGGGTTTCTCGTTGCGGTGGCCTCTCTTGTTGCGGAGTACGGGCTCTAGACACGCATGCTTCAGTAGTTGTGGCTCATGGTCTCTAGAGCTCAGGCCCAGTAGCTGTGGCGCACGGGCTTAGTTGCTCCGCAGCATGTGGGATCTTGCTGCCTTCATTGGCGTCGCCTTCCTTGGCAGGTGGACTTTCAACCACTGTGCCACTAGGGAAGTCCCAGGAGCTTGTAACATTAGAATCTAAAATATGTATTTCATTTTATCTCGTGATTTTGTTTTTTGTTTTCCTGCTTACTAATGATGATGAATGATTTTCATGTTTTTACAGGCTATTTGGATAGCTCTTTTATGATCTCCTGATTCAAGTTTTTGACCATGTTTTAGTTGGGCTATCTTATTTCTGTTGATTTGTAGAAAATTTTTATGAATTCTGTATCTGAGTTCTTTGTTGGGTACATAAGTTGTGAATATCTTCTCCCACTGTGTGGCTTGCTTTTTTTACTCTATTAATGGTATCTTTTGAAGAGAAGAAATTTCTTTCTCAGTTTTTCTGCTTGTGATTAGTGCTTCTCATGTCCTGTTTAAAAAAACAAGATCTTTCCCTTCCTCAAGGTTATGAAGATATTCTTCTCTGTTTTTCTTCCAAAAATTTTGGCAACAGTGATCTCTTTCATTATATGTGTGCAGCTGGTATAGAGAAATGGTATTAACTTCAGTGTTTCATTGCACACTGTGTTTGTCATTATTTCTAAGTATTTACTGGATTCATATGGATTTTAATAGCTTTATTTGTTCATTTGTTGATTCATTCACTTACTATTAAATGTTTGTCTGCTATACATTATGCTTAGCCTGGTGTAGAGTGGTGGGAAGAAACGGGATTTGTCCTTATGAGTTTATTGTATAGTGGGGGAGAGGAAGTTAATTAAAATAGCTACACATATTTAAGTGCTATCAAGGAAAAGTACAGATCTATAGATAAGTGGAACAGAATTGAGAACCCAGAAATAAACCCTTATATTTATAAACAGTTTCTGTGTGTTTTTTTTTAATGGCCTTGTAGCTGTGTAGCTAAGATGTGCACACAATGTGGGTATAACACAACTGAGTATTAAAAAGGAACCACCAGTGAACAGTTTATTTTTGATGAAGGTACTAAAGCATTTCAATTGGGAAAGCATAGTTTTTTCAACAAATGGTGCTGGGGTGATTGAGTGTTTATATGCAAAAACTTAATTTAGATTCTTATCTTACACCACACACAAAAATTAATGAGATATTCACTTTACACCCATTAGAATAGCTACAGTTGCAGGCGTGCGAAATGGGTAAAGGGGATCACCTGTATGGTAATGGATGGAAACTAAATTTTTGATAGTGAGCATGCTATAGGGTATACAGAAGTAGAAATACATTGTACATATGTTTTTTTGTTTTTTTTGTGGTACGCGGGCCTCTCACTGTTGTGGCCTCTCCCATTGAGGAGCACAGGCTCCAGACGGCCATTGCTGTCCGGCCAGGCTCAGCGGCCATGGCTCACGGGCCCAGCCGCTCCGCGGCATGTGGGATCTTCCCAGACCAGGGCACAAACCCGTGTCCCCTGCATCGGCAGGCAGACTCTCAACCACTGCGCCACCAGGGAAGCCCTGTACATATGAAACATATGTTGTAAACCAGTGTTACTTCAATTAAAAATATATTTTAAAAAGTAGCTGCAGTCAAGGGTAAAGAAGATGTGGCACATATATACAATGGAATATTGCTCAGCCATAAAAAGAAACAAAATTGAGTTATTTGTAGTGAGGTGGATGGACCTATGGTCTGTCGTACAGAGTGAAGTAAGTCAGAAAGAGAAAAACAAATAGTGTATGCTAACACATATATATGGAATCTAAAAAGAAAAAAACAAGGTCCTGAAGAACCTAGGGGCAGGACAGGAATAAAGACGCAGATGTAGAGAATGGACTTAAGGACATGGGGAGGGGGAAGGGTAAGCTGGGACGAAGTGAGAGAGTGACATGGACATGTATACACTACCAAATGTAAAATAGGTAGCTAGTGGGAAGCAGCCGCATAGCATAGGGAGATCAGCCCGGTGCTTTGTGTCTACCTAGAGTGGTGGAATAGGGAGGGTGAAAGATGCAAGACGGAGGAGATATGGGGAAATATGTATAGCTAATTCACTTTGTTATAAAGTGGAAACTAACACACCATTGTAAGCTATACATATTTCCCCATATAAAGCAATTATACTCCAATAAAGATGTTAAAAAAAAAAGTATCTGCAGTCTAAACATAACAAGTGTTGGTGAGGATATGGTGACACCTGGAACCGTCATATATTTGTGGTGCAGATGTAAGTATAGCCACTTTAGGAAACAGTTTGGCAGTTTCTTAAAATTTTACCATATGACCTAGTAATTCCACTTTTACATATTTACCCAAGAGAAATGAAAACACGTGCAGAGACTGTACATAGATGTTCTTAGTAGCACTATTCATACTAGCCTAAAACGCGACATAATTGTTCAGTGAATAGATAGATAAAACGCTCTGCATCTGTATAGTGGAATACTATTTGGCAGTGTAAAAGGGAATAAAATGCTGCTACACACTACAACATGGACAAACCTCAAGCATATTATGCTAAATGGAAGAAGTAAGATAGAAACATCACATATTACATGATTCCATTTATATGAACTGTCCAGGAAAGACAAATCTATAGAGACAGAGCAGGTTATTGGTTACCTGGGGCAGGGATTGACTGCAATCGAGGCATAAGAGATCTCTTTGTGGTGATGTTTGCACAGTTCTTTTCAATATCATAAAAGTCATTGAATTGTGCACTTAAAATGAGTGAATTTGTGGTGTATTGATTATACCTCAGTTAAGCTGTTTAAAAATTAGTATAAAGAGTTACCCAAATCTGTATTTGGCTAATCATAAACAAAGGAATTTCTAAAAAATGAATGTGGAAGTTAATTAAGTAAAGAGTTTAAATTCAGAGATTAGTGGAAGCAGAGAAAAGACTGTGTATAGTTGACCTTAACTGGGAAGCAGCATGATAGAAAGAGTGAAAATAAACCACTATGTTCAGTGCTTCGAGCAGAGAGGAAGAAACAGGAAGAGAGGGGTGTGGAGAGCCAGGTGGAGACCACCTTAATAGTTTTTGTTCTTTATTTTAGGAGCAGTGTGAAGCCTTTGAAAGGAGTAAGATCTGACAAGATTAAATATGCCACTCTTCTCTAGGCTAAATTATTCTTAGATTCATTTGCTTGCAAAGAGAAAGGAGATAGCATGGCCGCATGTTAAAAGACTTTCACTTTCCTTGTGTTTACTCATCAGATGCATTGCCAAACTGCTCTGAGAGTGGAATTCTCTGCAAGGTTTGAACAGTTTCTGATTCGTGAGCTGGCATGGCTCTCTTGGTAGTAGGAGTGAATTTCAGGATTTTTCCTCTGTTTATAGTAGAATTTCCTGACAACTTTGTGACTGTTTCAGCAAAGTGAGATAAAAATTAGAGGCTTATGGTAGCATCCAATCATAACTTTCTTCTGTCTTGATTTTGGGCAGAATTTTCTTTTACTGATTTTTATTCCTTCTTGTACAAAAGTCATGTTTCAAAAGAATTAGAAAGTAAAATTTCCAAACAAAGAACCTTAAGTAGGAGATTTTCAGCCATTTGTATCTTCCTTCTGTGAAGATGGAAGGGATGGATATAAAGAACTTTAAAGTATCTTCTGGAAACTTGATGATACTTTTTTCTTATGGTAGGCAATAGGATTCACCCAGAAAGCTCATCCTGGGTGCTATGTAGAGTGGTTTGGAGGCTTAGTTTTCTGGGTGGAGGATGGTACTATTCATTGAGAATGAAAAAAATGAAGCTTGAAAGAAATGATAGGTAGATTTTGAACATGTTGAAGCTGAGTTGTGTGTTAGATATACAAGCTAACATGTCAAGTCGCTAGCCAGATAGATATACAGTTCTCCAGCTCAGAGGAAATGTTTGTTTTATAAAATTACAATTGTCTACATATTGGAATTAATTGAAGTTTTAGGTATGGTAAATTAAAAGTACTTTAGAGAAAGAGAAAAAGATTAGATTATAAAGTAACATCTAACAAGATTCTTGGTTTCCATTGGAGATTTAACTGAACTAAAAATGATGATGGACTTAAGTCATCTGATATTCTTTTATCCCTCAGACACACATAAAGTGAAAGATTGGGTAGGCATTTAATGTATTTCTGTCAGAATAAAATTTAAGAGAAAGACGTAGATCCAAATTATAGTTGAACATGAAGATGGAACATTGATAAACTTGTGAATTCCAAACAGTATTGTCTTTAATATACAATAAACTTGTAATATACATAAAAGTTATCAGAAATAGAATTTTTTTTTTTAAGGTTTTTTTTTTTTTTTTTTGCAGTGCGCGTGCCCCACACTGTTGTGGCCTCTCCCGTTGTGGAGAACAGGCTCCGGACGTGCAGGCTCAGCGGCCATGGCTCACGGGCCCAGCCGCTCCGCGGCATATGGGATCTTCCCAGACCGGGGCACAAACCCGTGTCCCCTGCATCAGCAGGCGGACTCTTAACCACTGCGCCACCAGGGAAGCCCTAGAAATAGAATTTTTTAATATGCACATGTAGTACAATATTTAAGTTAATCTTCATCAAATGTGGTGATCCAGTACACAAAAATGAGGAATGGGAAGTTACTGATATAAATTAATAAGATAGAGCTAATAAACATACATTTCTGAAGCCTATATCTTAAGCTAGTGATTATGTAAGATATGAACATGGTCTGTATGAAACCTTAGGCAATAGGCAAACTTTCCAAGGAGAGTTAATTTTTAATGATTTATGATATTAGAATATTTTTCATGTTTTGTATTTTGTACTGAATCCATATACATGTGAGTGTTTGTATTTATTTACTCATCTATTTACTTATTCATTTAAACAGTTCAGAAACTATTGCCAGATGTTGGTATATCCTGCTTTCTGGATCTGTGCTTATGAAAGACTCCATGGTTTTGCCTCCTTGCAGGTATGTTTACATTTGCTGTTTAGTGCATGTGGTAGGCAAAGTTAGATTACAACTAGTTATTTTATTTCTTATGTTAAACTATTTTTATGTAGATGTGTATTTTCTCTTAGTAGGTGATACATTTTAGAAATGTCCTTTTTGGTACTATTTGAAGTACTTGGCAGGAATCAACTGATATTTCATATTTCTTGGGGGTATAATCTGTAGTTTACACCATGGCATATTATACTGCTATTTGATCTTTAGTTGTATGTGAGATTTGATCTCATTTATCTGATGGTTTTGCATTCATTGCTGTTAGTTATAGGGAGGCAATATATCTTTATAGTTAAGAAATCGTTTTTTAGAGTAATGCGAACTAGGCTAGTATCCTGATTTTGTCACTTATTAGTTTTATGACTTTGGACAAATTATAGTTTTCTTGTATGTAAGAGGATAATAATAGAACCTATTTAAAGTGCCTTATGAGGTTATAGCAAGCTACTACTCAAAGTTCTCAATGGAACTCTGTAAAAGTTGACATTCTAGAGCCAGACTGCTTGAGTTCACATCTTTGCTCTACTGTATAATACTTTTTGGACAAATTACTTAATCCCCTTGTGCCTCAGTTTCCTCATTTGTAAAATAGGGACAATAATAGGATGTATTTCATAGGCCAGCTTTGAGTAATAAATGAGTTTATATATATATATAGAGAGAGAGTTCTTAGAATAGTGCCTGGCTGTTACAAGTAATTGTTAATTATCATCATCAGAATTATTAGGTAAAAGAGGAGCGGTTGGAAAGATGATCAGATATAGTATTCTTAGAGAATTTGGTCTGTTAGTAATTCTTAAGATTTTGGGGCCTCAAATTATAATTTTGTGACATAAAAATGTAATTTTTTGGTGACTTTCCCAATAATGTTGAGAAGAGATTTTTAGGCTTTTAAGGTAAGACTTCTAATTGCAGCTAAATTAATTTAGTTGCAAAACTATTAAATTTAAGTATCAAGGTACATTCTACTTGACAGATGGTACGAGACATCTCAGTTTTGATGCCATTTTTAAAGCCATGTCTTTATTCTTGAAACTTTATATCATCAACTTTTAGTTAAATGAAATCTGTACTTCTTGATTAGTAGTATAAAGCATACTGTTGACTGTTTTTAGAAATAAAATACATAATAGTTCTTGGTTATTTAAGCCTTTTGGGTATTGTTCCTTTCTACTATGTTTCTGAAAGTCACTTTAGTGATTTGTAATGAGTTAGCTACTTACACAGAATAAGCTGGGTTGATACTGACTACAGTTATATTTTAAGATTATTAGTATTGTTCTTTTGAATATTTTATCACCCTTTTCTGCTGTTAGGAATAGTCAAGGACTTTATGTAGCCATTAATCAGCCACAATAATTCACCATGAGTTTGTGATCAAGACAATGAAGTTTATCTTTTAAATAATTGATAGTATGAGTTTGTTTTGTTTTGTTTTTTCTTTTTTTGAGCTGTACCACTCAGCTTGTGGGATCTTAGTTCCCTGACTAGGGATTGAACCTGGGCCCACGGCAGTGAAAGCACCAAGTCCTTACAACTGGACTGCCAGGGAACTCCTGATAGTAGGAGATTTTAAAACAATAAAGTCATGGAATGCTTTAATGTAACCATCATGAACTTCAGAGCAAACATGATTGTAGAAGTCTATTTAATCGTTATTTAGAGAGCAGCTCCTAGGTAGGAGATTTATATTTTGTGTTTGAGAGATACTTATATTAGGTTATTGTTAGGATTAAATGAGTCAATACAAATAAAATACGTAGAATAATGCTTAGCATATATTAAGCATCAAATAATTTTTGGCTTCTGTTCATTATAATAGTGTTGGGATATGATCATTATGGTAATCAACAGATATGAGCACTACCTAGTATAAGACAAGGAATAATAGTCGTTTTCTAGGTTATAAAAATAGAGCCTATTTCTCTAGATATTAAGGTATTTGTTACTCCCTTATCAGTGAGTAGACAGAAACCACACAGTAATTTGAACAGGGACAGTTTAAAGAATTATTGACTACTTTAAGAAGTTAGGTACTAAGAAGGATAAAGGAACTAAGGGACAGAGTACCCAAGGAAGGAACAAACTTGAAAGGGGAGCCCTCTCCCCAAAACTGAAATTCAGAACTTGTTGGTGAATATGTTACTTGTAGCCCAATAGCTAATGGAGAAGTTCACTTGGTTGCTCTGGGCCAGAGCTGTCCACAGTTACTGAGTCAAGGCTGGCAGGAAGAGATCCTCTGACCAGGACCGGTAAGCAATAAAATCCTCCCTCACCCTCACCCGGCCCAGGGTGCAGATGGGCCCTGAGGCTGGAGATAGGACGTCCCTTTGCTTTACACACACATACCCCGTAGAGCAAAGAATACTTTCCTACTGCGGTGTCCTGATACTAGCACCCTTTACTGACAGAGCTTTAACATTTCCAGCTGGCCAAAGGAGAATCTTGACTAAATCCAGATGCTTTATTACAAAGTAAATTTGAAACTGAGAGCAAATACATTTGAACTTGAGAGGCAATAAATGAATGGTACAGTCCACTCTCTTGGTTACTCAGTTTTCATTCTGAACACATTTGAGCTTCCATCCAACTCTGTTTCCACCTAACAAGATGTAGCTATCGTTCATATAAGTAAAGAAGTTCCTACTCTCTCCCCAAAATAAGGAGATGCACAGTCCCAACAGTCATTACTCGCTGTTGATTACATATTCCATCACAGTACTCTGAATATTCTATTAACTACAAACTACTTTGTAAAGTTCACCTCCAACAACTTATATATAAAATAAATATGGGGAAGAGAGGGAAGAAGAAAATGGTTAACGTTTACACAACTCCAGACATATACACAATATATAGTCCTTGTTTCTGTAACTGCTCACAAGCCCATAGTTGGTATCTCTCGCTTCCTTTTTTTCACCACCCATTCAGTACTTCCGGCCTCAGCCAGAATTTCAGCTGTTCTGTGTTCTTTACCTGATGATGGGCACAAAACTTTGATTTCTGAAGGATCCTTAATTATCCTGCCCACCCCACCCCCTGTCTTTTGGTTGCCGTTAGTTTTCCATTAACCTTTTTTTTTTTTTTTTTTTTTTTTTTTTTGGTATGCAAGCCTCTCACTGTTGTGGCTTCTCCCGTTGCGGAGCACAGGCTTCGGATGTGCAGGCTCTGCGGCCATGGCTCACGGGCCCAGCCGCTCCGCGGCATGTGGGATCTTCCCGGACCGGGGCATGAACCCACGTCCCCTGCATCGGCAGGCGGACTCTCAACCACCACGCCACCAGGGAAGCCCTTACATTAACCTTTAACAGCGGACTTGAAAGTACTACAAGGAGCCTAAATGAACCCCTTGGGCTTCAGATGTAGTTCTCCTGGCCCCCATTGTATGCAGCAACTCAGTTTCTCCTTGGTGATTGGGATCAATCACTCAGGCCAGTAGAATAACCCCTTTTCCTGCCTTTTGGTTCAGTGGCCAGGTGGAAGTCTCTAATTCAGTGGAACCGTTGCTGTGTTTCCATAGCTAGACATAATCTAAGACTAAGAATCAAAACCAGCAGAGCTCACAGTTTTAGGGAGGGGAAGTAAAAGTTCTGTGAATGAGTTATTAAGTATAACACTGAGAAGAGCCACTCCTGTTTCCACGCCTTGAATATCAGACCCATGTATTCTGGCTGTTGGGGGAGACAAACCATTGCTGTACTTCTGCTGCTGCAAAATGAGTACCTTGATTGAAAATGATGCTGTCTAGAGTGCCGAGGCAATAGATAGGCATTTTGTGAGCCTGTGGATAGTGGTGCTGACAGAAGCATTACGGGCAGGAAAGGCAGATCATTTCCAGAATATGTGCCTGTTCCAGTGAGGATGAATATAGTCCTTCTCCATGATAGAAAAGGTCCAGTGTAAATAATCTGCCACTAGGTGACTAAATAGTCCTCCTGAGGAATGCTTCCATATCAGAGACTCAGTATTGGTTTCTGCTGTTGGCAGATTAGGTACCCAGCAGTAGCATTGGCAGTTGAGCCGCTGCATATTTTCCATCTCTGTCACAATAGCCACTTCATTTGTGGGCCCATTGAACAAGCACTGACTGGGGAGAAAGAGTTTGATTGACATCCATAGAGCATGTTATTTTGTTTACCAGTACAGTGGATGCCCTTTGTGCATTCACAGGGGACACAGGTATCTTGAAAGTCTGTATCCATTTTGAAAGAGGTCCTTCCATATACCTCTTCCCAGACTTCCTTGTTACCAGTCTTCCAGTCCTTTTCCTTCCAAGTCTCTGACTATTCAACCAAACTGTTAGTAACTGCCCCCATGAATGTCTAGATATTGATCTAATAATTCTGGCCTCTCTCAATCCAGATTAAATGGACAACCAAATGTACTGCTTGAAGTTCTATTCCCTAGAAGGATTTTCCTTCACTACCTTCCTTCAGGGTCACCTTTGAGTAGGGCTGTCCACTTTGGGGTAGTACTAGCATGTTGTGCAGACTTATCTGTGAAATAGGCTCAAGTTTTTTCTTCTTCAGTCACCTGGTCATAAGGGACTCCCTGGGTGGGCATAGGCACAGATTGAGGTGGAGGAGGCAATGCAACAGGAATTGGTGTTGAAGGAGTCTGAGCCACCTGCTCATGCAACTTATTCTGGACCTGGGTAAACTTGATCTCTTATATACCATATTTATTTGATAATAGATTGCTACTGCTCATGCCCAAGCCTTATGGCTAGGAATGCAGTTCATGATAGGAAGTTCAGGCTGCATAGTCACCTGATGTCCCATGGTTAGGCATTCACCCTCTACCAACGCCCAGTAGCAAGCCAGAAATTGTTTCTGGAAAGTAGAATGTTATTTGTAGAAGAGAGCATGGATATTTCAGAAATTCTAGAGACCTGTACTGTCATTCTCATATTAGTGCTTGTCGGACACTCCCTAGAATATCACTATTTGCCATGAACACTAAAT